CTTAAATGTAAAAATTTAAAATTCAAATACAGAAAATAATTTGAATTTAAAAAGATCTTTAACAATTTTTTTCTAATGATGTTTAAACATGAAAAAAAGCATATAATCAAAAAAACTCAAACTATTTTTTATTGCAGTCTTGCAATCATGAAATCATATACTTTTAAAAATATACTTTAAAATCTAAATTAGGAGAAATTAATTGTTAATTTTAAATAATACAACTTATATAGAACATATTTTAGAATAGGGGAGCACAGGGCTAATCCAAACAAAAACATAGTTTTAAGCTTTCTATTTTTTTCTCTTCAGCTTTTGCAATAACTCTTTTTTTTTTTTACATTGTATGTGTCGAGTAAACGTTTCCAGCATTTTTAAACAAAAATGTATTGTATTTGCAGTAAAGCAGTTTTTGCTAAAGTCAGTGCATAAAAAAATGCTTGTAAATATCACTTTTACTTAAACTGCATGATATTTTTTTAGGTAAAATGTATTTCAGAATTATTCCTAATATCAATGGACAAATAATAGGTGCATTTGAAGAAACATGCAAGGATAAAATTATAAATAAAATTTATTTTTTCTAAAAAAATTTTAAGTTTGCCTTTTTTTTTTTGAGCTATTTTTTTATTTTTATTTTTTGGAAGCACTTCTTCTTTTCTCAGAGTTAAGACAACTTTTTCAGTTAAAACGCTGTCACATTCTGCTTGCACTCATTTTCTTTCTTTTTTTTATTGTTTATAGCTGTTAGAGTGTTTTTTGAAAAGAGTTGGCAACAACACTTATAAAAGAGTCATTATCTTTTGTATTCTTTGCTGTCACCTGCACTTTTTTGCCAACTTTTGATGAATCTAACAGATATAGTTTTGAGGCTCTAAAACCAGATTTTAAATTTTATTTGTTTACTTTCAGTCAAGTTAGTCTCACTAAATTTGGAAAAATATTCTTGCCTTGCAAACTCTCTCTTCAAACTTGTTTCATTAGTTTATAGAAACTGGTATCTAAAGGTTGTAAAGTGTGACTACTATCTGGGGAAAAGCAAATAAGTGCAATCTAAATTGCAGAAAAAACAAGGTCTGAAAAAGTCTTACTAACAGGCTTCGATAAACTAATTTTCAAAAACATATGCATCCATCCATCCATCCTAACTCAAATATAGCATATTATACAATAATTGTTGTGAAGATTTTTGCCTTGATAAACTACAAAAAGTGGCATAAGAAAACCATTAGCGTTTCTACATATTAATACTGAGAACATGGTTTTACCACAAGAAGCTTTTAAGTTGAGGGGGAAATGTACGCTGCGTCTAAAAAAAATGTTTATTTCCTTCACTGGTAGAAAATCTGGTCTCATCCAGATTATATAATCGGTCATAATTATTATGTTAATTAACTTCTGGAGTTAACATATACACATAATTAACATACACACATAATTTAAGATGGAGTTAACATATACACATAAATTAATATATATTCATATAAATTATTCACTTTAATTTATATGAATATATATTAATTTATGTGTATATTTTATAAGTTAAGTTATAAGTAATTAATTTAATTAATTACTAATAACTTTACTTATAATTTATTCACATAAATGCTTAAGTATAGGGATACCGACCAATTCCATCAATGTTCAAAATAGCCCTGCAAATGTTCAGACAAGCCCTATTTTTTCAATGTTGAAATTCCAGTGGAAGATTATAAGTACCGAAAATTTCAAATTCTACGTAAAACTCTATATTAAACGCTATTAATGTAAAAAAATACATAATAAATAAATGGGTTATTTTTTAAAAATTAAAACATTCAAAAAAGTTTAAAATTTAGCAATTGTGGGAAAACAGAAATATTTTCCAAGACTGTTGTGTTTTCAAAAGAATAAATATCATATTTTAATTATATATAACATGATTAATCAGAACATAATACTTACTTTTTGAATTATACATAAAATAGGTCAGAAAAATAAACTGTTCCAATTAGCATCGCATTTAAATTAGCATCGCATTTAAATTAGCCCGCACTAAACTATCAAAAATTGCATGAAACAATATTTATTCTCCTAGGCAATGATTAAAGGGGTTAACAGATTCTATTTGTTGACCAGCCTCGCACCCCTCTTTATCTATTAGACTGGTGCAGACATACTCATAACAAACTGTTTCCAGTTTAGGATGTTGAATGCTGGATTTTCTTGACTCAATGGATGGGTTTTGCTTTTGCCTCTATTTTTATGACTAGGCAACTCATTCTATGATCTCCTAATGAGGGTACAGCTACAAAACTCAGTTTGATGGTGGGCTGGTAGTTATTATATTATTTTTTTCTCAGGTGGGCTGGTAGTTATTATATTATTTTTTAGCTGCTGATTTCATCAACAACTGTAAAATATTAAAGTACTAAAACTGTCATGTTGCGCATGGATGGTGTCCCTGTTTGTACTTTTGGTGTGCCAAAATTGTCGAGGCCACATTTGAAGGCCTTTGTTATGGATTAGGATTTATTAATATTAATGAGGCAACTGTTTGGACTATTAAATAATGTACTGAATACTCTCTGTATTTTCTTTAACTCCAATAGTCACATACTTGACCTGGGCATTTACATTCGCAAGATTTCACTTACTTCTCAGGAAATTAGGTTTGAATCCGCAGACTATTTTTTTATGAGCCTTCATTTAGCACCACTTCAATCTATCGCCTTTCTGTTTGATCTCTCTAAAACTATTATCTCATTCTTGCTCACTATCAGAATCCCTATCATTGTACCTCTTACAACTACCTTAAAGCTGACTGGGCAGGGATGCAAAGTTGGAGTTTAGAGCCCAGGAGTCCCTATTTTTACCTAGAGCCTAGAGTCCTGCCTGTCCTTATAATTTTTAGGACTCGAGGACTCTGGGATTTTTTAATTTTTTATCAGCATATAATTCTTTACTAACAAACCGTAATTAACTTTTACAAGTTTCTTAATTTAAAATTGTTTAGCAATAACTTTAAACCAGTGAAAGCTCGAATGTAACTTTAAACCAGTAAAAAATCAAATGTACGCTGTGTACGGCAAGCCCTGCGGCATATAAATTATTTAGAAATTTGCAGCATGTTTATTGCAGACATCGTCTAGGCATTGTTTTACAGAATATAAGAGTTAGACGAATTATGTGGTGTACAAAACCTTTGGCACACACTGATCACTAGATGCCAAATTATGCCTAAGCACTAATTTCTACACACTCAAACCTGCATTGATGCCAAAGTAAAAAAAAGTATTTTTTTAAACGTGTTTTCCTTATAAAATTGCCTAAACTGACAGATATGGTTTTACTGATAAAAAATAGTCTGAAGGTCGTTATTATAATTATTTAAAATAAATCACATTGATATTTTATTCGAACAACATGTTCAAATTTTTTTTACAAATAAGTCTTTTTTAATACTGTTAGGAAGTATCAAGTGTATCAAGTTATGCCTATTAAATGTGCCTGAGCACATGGTTAGAATAAAATTTTATAATATTTTTCAATTTATTTTAACTTATATTAAATAAAAACACATTTCAACATTTGTGTCGTAATATGTTAATTTGGTGTAATAATTTAAATTTAATTTAAAAATTATTATAATAAAAATTAACTATTTTTTTGTGGGTTATTTAAGTAATTATGAAATTTCGGAAAAGGTATATAAAAAAAATACTTTATATGTTGATAATCAGCTGCAAATAACAACTGTCTTGCTTTATATTTTGATTTGCTATTCTCATTTTGCAATAGATATAAATCAAGGAACAGATATTGCATACAAACATTTTTTATGCGCTAAAAAAATTGTGGATGAAGTTAGAGTTTTCAGCTTTAAATGTATGGTAACAGAAAAAAGTTAAGGGAGCGAATTGTGTGGTGAAGAAATTGTGTGCCCAAAAAGCTTACTTGAGCAACCTTATTCAACACATAAAAAAAAAGCATGTTAATTTTTTGAAAAATATAGAAAAAGAAAAACTAGAGAAAAAGAAGAGGACAAGAAAAAGAAGAAATTTACAGGCAATCAAAGTAACTCGCAGCAGTCTATACTAAAATGTTTTCCACCTCAGCTTATTTTCGTCCTTTGTTAAATTCAAATTAGTTTGAATTTAACAAAGGAAGAGTTTCTAAAAGTGTTAAATGAACTGGTTTTAGTTGAAGGACTTTCATTTCAGGTTAGGATTTATTTAAAGACTTACATTTCTGTTATTTATTTTCCAAGCGTTTTCATTTTTCAATTTTTTACTTGTACTTTGCTATTTGGTTTAATTTTGTAAAACGTTTTCAAAATTTCTTTGTCGTAATTAATCTTGTTGTCAACCCACTAAATACTCAATAGATGATGAAGTTATTGTTGTCAATCCACTAAATACTCAAGAGATGATGAAGTTATTGTTGTCAATTAAATAGAGCTCCTAAAGAGTTTACGTTCAGCCATATTAATGGGGCATCTGGGAAGAACTGCAAGATGTATTGGAGATGGCTCACAATCTCACTATTCAACTTCAGCGGGAGATTATCACTGAAAGTGAATTTCTCTTCAACTGGAACTCATTTAGGTTTGAACTTGACGGCAAAGGACATGAGTCAGAAAAAAATATTCAGAAGGGAATGATGAATTGGGAAATTGCTCTACAAGAAAATTCACTTTTTCTCGCAGCAGTTTATGTAGATATTCAACATGGTTGCATGCCTAGACAAGGTTTTTTTATATTTTTTTAATTTATTGTAATTATAATATTATCACCACTTTATTATATAAAGTATATATTATATAAATGTATTCTATAGAAATGAATATAAATATTATACATATTAAAAATTACAAATTTCTTTAGATGACTGCAGCTGACAGCCTTTGAAAGATAAAATACAAACTAATCCAACTGGAAAATAAAAATAATAGTGTCCAATTTGAAAAAAGGAGCAAAGGAATACCAACCAACTCTTCTGCTGTTTATGTTTTTGATTCA